GTTCGTAGCTATGCAGGAAAAAAAAATTGACTCAATTTTATGCATTAGATCACAAGTTATAATCAGCAAAAATTACGTCAATTAGTATAACGAAAATCACGTGGTCCAATACTTTTGACCAGGGAGTGTATGTATTGTGAAAAAGAATTCAGATATCCCTCTATTCTTAAAAGACACTTGAAGTTAAAAAATATGTGTAGTGAACAGTCTAGTCAGGTCAATGATTGGGTTAGTCTAATAAGTGATTAGGTTAGCCTAACAAGTGATCAGGTTAGTTTGATAAGTGATCAGATTAGTCTAACAAGTAATCAGGTTAGCTTAACAACTGATCAGATTAGTGAAAAAAATACTGTGCCTATTCGGCTAAGTCTTGCCTAAACAGGTTTTCAAAAAGTATATTTTTTCAGATATTTAGATTACTCTTTACATCTTTTCATTTTCTAGTCCAATATTCAGCATCATGAAAAGAAATAAATGTATTTAGCTCAATTGTCCCATCCCTTCCAGTACTAAGATTGGAGAATATTACTCGATCATTAAGAGCTATAATTTTTATATCTTTAGTAAAGATAATATCTTTCAAATCTTTACATACAGATTCAGCAGTCTTCTTTATATCCTATTTTTCATTCTTAAGCTGGAAAATAGTAGAGGATAACTTGCCGATCTCCTTATCTTTCTCAACTATAGATTTATCCAAAGTAGAGGTACGTGATTTATATTGCTTCTCTAACTCAGCTGAGCGTGAATTATGCTGGGATTCCAATTGATGTTTAAATGAATATATCTTTTGTTTCATATCTACCATACAATTATTATATTCACTCTCCAGACAAGACTTAAGAGCATCATATTCATCTTTTAGACATTTGCGTTTCTCAGCAACCTGAGCTTCAATAGTTTTTTAATATTATTTTCCTTCTATCTTACCAAAGCCTCACGCTCCTACAACTGCTTTTTAAAACTATCTAGCCTAGACAAGGTAAAGGATCCTCTGGGATCACATTTGCTTCAATCTTAATCTTCTGGTGATTTTTTTTGTTATAGTATTTATTAACCTCTTTAGTAAGCAACTCCTTAATATCCAGATGGATACCTCTAACCAGCTCCTCAGATAATGGTTTATTTTTGCGGGTTGTAAGGCATAACCATACATTCTTTTCATGGATGAAGGTAATTGGTCAAGCAAATTCTTATAGTGATTATTGAAATGCGGTTGACTGAGCATGTGTTTGAATAGGGTAAGTTTATAGTCTTGGAAAATTTCCAGAAAAAAATATTTCTGGAAGTTTAGGAATTCCATATATTCCTGGAAGTTTGGGTATTCCATATATTTCTGACAAAACTTTTTGCCTAGACAATAGCCAAAAAATTTACCGAAGCCTAGATTCCAGGAAAATTACTAAGAATATTCTTAGAGTAAAGAAAAAAAGAGTGATTTTATATTCATACAGGTTAGTTTGCAGATCCCTCATGAATGCATGTATCATTTTATTTGATAAGCACTTATATAGCATTTACAGATACATATGAATAAAAAAGGAGAAAGACCCAATATGGAAAAACTTTATTATTTTTTTTTCATTGTTCTACATTATTACCAGATCTCAAAGTGATCTCATCATCCGCACTATTAGATGATTGCTGATTGGCTTCATAAGATAGTTGTTAAACAGATGAAGTTGTCATATTACTACTTCCTCTGGCTGGATTTCCTATATTACCATTTTCATTACGAGATGGTGATTTCAAATGTGTACAACTCATTTAATTGCTTCGACTCCTTCGACTTCTTCAGCTAGATAATCTCTGACTTAGCTCCCGTTCAACCTCCTCAATAGAAGGTGCTGGTGAAGAACCTCTCCTACTATGTCTGTGGTTAGAAATATTCATATTACAGTTTCTATCGAATGGATCTTCAGGTCTTTTCCAAAAATAAGAGCAGAACTTATCAAAATATCTAGCTTCTGCTTGACTCCTTCGAGCTATTTGACTTCTATTCATATATTCACACATCGCCTAGTCATCAGAGAGTATAGAAGGATATTTAAGATCCGTTTGCACTTATATAATGTCTATTATCATTTACACTTATATTATAGTCCCAAACAAGATTCCTGAATTTTTCTTTACAATGATGTCTCAGGAAATTGGAACCATGTACTTCATTATTAATTCTAGTAGCAACACTTTCCCAAAATACATCTCGTTTCCTTTCCAAATTGTGATATTCTTCATTTCTATTTCTACGTTTGTCAATAAGGATACGGGTTTGTATATTAGTCCAGTTAACCATTTTTTTTTCAGAAATCAGGTGAGTTGTCTTCTAGTAAATAAGCGAAATATGAGGTGTTTTTATAAGTATCTAACCGCTCATCAACCTGAGTTCATCCCTACATTATCCATTCTTTCATAGGCGATCAAAATTTTCTATATTTTTAATAGTATTTTTTTAACTGCATATGTGAATATCCTGTAACAATTGCTAAAAGTTCTTGAACTATTCTCAAATCCTATTTTAACCCAACTTGTTTCCCAGAACCTTTCGATCAATTCCTAATATAGATGACTATTCAACAATCTAATTGCTTGAGCGATCATCATGCGAAATGTCTCTGACTAATTTATGCTGAAACAATCCTAGAAGGATCAACTCAGGAGTGATTATCATACTCCTAATCACACAAAAATATTATTGCCATAAAAGGTGTATCCCGAAGGATCGTTTATTAATATATATAAAAAATAAATACAAAGTTCGGGACTATATCTATAATACATGACATCTATACTAATGTTTGCGGACTAGCATTTATTGAATTGCTTAGAAGGCTGATTAATTAGCTGGAAAATTAGAATCAGAAATATTAATCAGTAACAGTTTTTTTATATTATTTTTCAGCAATTTTATGATCTCTTCTAGCCCTGCCATACTTTTTTCAAATTCTTTGTTTAATTTTCCTAAATCATGAAAAATAAGGGATGAGGAATCATAGTCAAGCCAGCTCGTCTCTGGCTGATCCCTTTAGGATTGCTTCTCTTTTTTATCGTTTTCCATTCCTTATCTGCAAAAATTAGTCTAATTATGTATATTCATATTTGGCTAGATTACATAATGGTAAATACTGTGTAGGGCTAGTAGTGAACTTTCCCGTTGTCTTATAACGATTATTTCTCAATTTTCTACCTATTACTAGATAGACTGACAGATTTAATTTTTTCTACAAGCTCAGGTTGGGTTCCTTCTAGGTTTCGCCTTCTTATTGTTGGATTTCACCTTCTTATTCCCAGGTTTTTCAAAGCTGGTAGCTTTCCATAGTTTATAATCTGACTCAGATGAACTGAATTCGGATGAATAATAGAAGGAAGAAAATAATGTATCTAAACGATTATCTATATCATCCAATCTTTCCTCTAGCGCTTTGATTTTTTCAAAAATTACTACACTTTCAAGTGATCTCATTTTAGTAATATTTTTATAGCTGGATATTATTGTACCAGAAAAAAAAATATGTATTATATCCTAGAAATACCTGAACTACTTGAAGTTATCTTTGCCTCTCTCAGTCAGAAAGATTTTTATAGGAGTTGTGTCAGAGTAAATCATCAATGAAATGCTGTATCTAAGCTTATTATTCAGAAAAAGAGAAAAGCTGAGTTTATTAGTATTCCCAGAATTTGTGATAATATTATTTTTCACCTATATGACAATTGTATTGATTATAAAGAAACTTTTCATGAATATATTAACTATTTCAAAATATGTAAGTTATGAAGTATTATCCTTTCTAATTTTCTAGAAGAGGATCTTCTCCCATTACGAGAAAAAAAATCCAAAGAAATTTTATAGGCTAGAATATCTTTCAATTGGAAAAATGATTCTTCTGAGCTGATAGTTATTACTTCAGACTAGTTGGATTGAACTGCTCAGACCAGATTCCTTCTAGGAAATGCCAAACTTTACATTCTACGTATGCCCGTTGTGTTTTCCTAACTGGATATTTATTTCATCAGATAAAAAAAATCTAATAAAGTTAACTGAATTTTTATTAATTTTCTCTCACAGATTTTTGATCAAGAGAGCTTGACTTTATAGTTTTTTTTTGACTACTTTAACGGCAGTGTCTTTCATTACATCAGAGACAGGTAAGTTTTACATTCTGAAGATAATGTCTCTCAGCATCATTTATCTGATCAATCGAAAATAACTGTGGATGACGTTTAGAATAGCCTTAGAATAGGAGTAGAACACAACATATCTTACAAACTTTCTTTTGCTGATATGCTATAGAAATTATCTCTTCTGGCGTGATTGATAGAATAGTCTTTTCCTCACCATTCTCTGCTAGATAGAGCGGATTCTCACATACCGTAGTATCCTTGAGCAAATCAGTCTTATTATTTATTTCCCAATCCTCATCTATCATAAGTGGTCTTGAAAAGTGTCACTTCTTTTTTCGATCATCTAGCCTATGGTGTCTTAATTTTGCCTCAATAATTTGGAAACAAGGAGTTGCTTGAAGTTCAGTAAGTTTGATATATTCAAGGACACCATCTGATGGTTTAACTCAAATCATTTGATTCATGTATTATACTCGACTGCAAGCTGTATATACAGCATTGTTAATCCAGCCTTCTAGGCTATGGTCTACAATAAAACAATGTTTTGGAAGCTCGACAGTCTGTCTTTGGATTCTATGAATTGTTTCCCAGCTAGTATATCATATTTCCACTCAGCAAGGAGTCCGCGTAGTACTATTTCAAGTAATACATTTACCATCGTATCAACATATGCTTCAATAATTTCATTGCTACTGAGAATCTGCACAGGTTTTCCTTGAATGCGATACATATACTTGACACTTTTGTCTAGATCAAAGTGGATAATTAAGGGTACATTAGGAAAGCGTGACTTATGAGCCTGTATTAATGCACTTTCAACTCGCATACCCATATCATTTGTGAAACAAATCCAGATATCTTCTGGAGTCCATTCAGTAAGTGCATTCTTCCATGATGTTGTAGGTATAGCCCTACAGAATTCTTATAATTGGGTCATATCATCTTTCATCCATATGCGTAATTTTAATACCTTAAGTTCAGAATTATAAGCACGATAATCGTTTATACACCAGATTACTTCATCAGCCCACTTAGTAAGAAATTTATGTAGATCTTCTTTATCATCCCATGATGTAAGTTAGCCTGGATACTCACACATAATATTCTGACATTCACAACTTTTGGCATAGGATAATAATCTTTGTAATACCTTCTTTAGAATCATACATATTACATTAAAGATAAGTATTTCAGCCAGAGCTTTTTTTTAAGACATGCGAAGTCCCACTCATCGATAGACATTGCCTTTAGATGAAAATACTTATGATATGTCATAGCCGTTAAGCTTGGATTTTGCTTTCTATGGTATTTCGCAAGTAAATTTGCTGGTGTTAGAACTACAACTTTTCGATCAGAGAATGCATGAATGGCTCATATTATTTTTCCGCTACCGTCTTGGCTAACTAGATAAACTTTTTGCAATATTATTAGTTTTGAATCAATTGAAAAAGGGGGTGCGTCTCTTGGAGGGATCTCTAGTATACCTTCATAATTGATAGCCCAGGATGATACTTCTTTACAATAAGTATATTCCTCTTTTTTCTTGCGCTATTGGCCATACTTAATTTCTGGTGTTTCTAGAATAATAACTGATTCGTATTGCTTTCTTTTTTTATCTAGTTCAGCCCCATATTTTGCATGCACTTCTTCTAACTCTGCACTATTTTTCGCTTTAGCAAAGAGGCTTTTATCAAAATCAGAAAGCAATTCTTACCCTAACTCGATAACACTTTCATCTAAAATAGTTTCAGGAATTGCTATGGTGTAAATGGTATCTGTACATACTCGTAATACATTTTCTATCGGAAAACATTTTAGCTATTTGAGTACAGCAATATAGGTATAGGCAAGGATAAAAGAACGGATATGCAACTATTACCCACGCTTTTCATCACCTTCATACTTGATTAAAGTTTCTTGCTCTATTTGGGTCCAATTTGGTCGTCGTTTATTTTTTGCTAGCCAGTTAACTAACATATCCACTTCATTTATATTCTGGACTAAAATAGATATTACTTGTATATTACGAGCACAAGAGCCCACAAAGCGAACAGCTAAATCACGATCTGGTTGAAACCAATGTGGGATTTTTTACCTACACTGTATATAATTTCTCTTGGAGTTGTGCCTGTAAGTCACCCCCTGCTTAGCAAATAATCGACTAAAGGTGTTGGTATTCAGCCTTCTTTTTCTGTAAGATGTTACCCAATAAGCCCTGCTGTAAATGGATATAAGTTTTGAGCAAATTCCCATACTATAAGCTGAATAATTCCTGTCAAGTTGCGAATAGTATCAATATTGTCAACTTGAGCACGTCATTATATCCTTTCTAGGAATCCATATCATCAGACCTAAGGCAATACTTCTGATGCGCTTCGTTCTGAATCTTTACAGCCAAGGTATGCTTCACAAAGATCTATGTGAATATGCTTGGAGGGAGGATCTATTGGTGCATTCCATACTATTGATTCCACCTGTAATTTATGCTAGATCTCTATAATATTTCTAGGTGTAGGCGCAATAGCTTCTTTTTCTAGCCAGCAATAGAATCGATAAGACTGAGCGCCCCTTAGTGACTTCCAAACTTTATCAAACTCAGCTATAGGCTCTTCTGAAGGAGCCAGCGTATTAGATTGATACGATTCTAAAAGGATTTGCTCATCTTCGATCTATTGACGAATATCTACATTCTCTTCCCATAAAATTCTTCAGATATGGATTGCGAATTTTCACAAATGAATGCATCGTTCAGCTTCTTCTATTCATAAGAACTATAATAAAGAATACCTTCATAAGTTAGAATCTCCTTACCTACAATCCATATTCTTGTAGCTTTTGGAAGGTTTCTTGTGACAAATGATATAAGAGCTTCAGCAATCTTTTTTTCGTCGATATTAACCTCCCCCTTCTTAGTTTTCATGCATGCAGAAATAAGTACTCTTTCACATTCATAGTCTATATAATAGACTGAAGATACTTGAGGCATTTCAGGTATACCTCCTATCTATGTATGATTATTATAGCAAAATACTGTTAGCTTACATTGTTTAAGATACCTACTACTATTTCACATTTCGTTACCCAAAATATCTTTGACGATGATTTTCATCCCTATTCCTCCAGATTTTTCCAGTTTTTCAAGGTCATGCAAATCATCTAAAGTACAGCCGGATGCTCGTACTTTTTAATTAAATTTTGCAAAGGCACTTTCATGAGCTGGCATTAGTCCTATAGCCTGCTTTGTTCCTCTATGCTCTATTAGTCTTTGTAATTCTGCTACAATACAATTTAAGTCGCTATCATAAAATGGTCCTGGTGGTTCTTGTGGTCTCGGAACTGGTCAAAGTTCATAGCAAATATAGTTAACATACTCTTGGATCTTTATTACTAAATATATGTCAATTCCCTCTAGTAGTCCTGGTGTAATTTCTTCTTCAGTAAGACTTTTGGCTTTCTTTTTCTTACCAAAATGCCATCTTTTATCTCCAATTTCTTCTACAATTCCTCCTTCTATATAGAGTCTAGTAAAAAGAGTATACTCTGTAAAATGATAAAGAAGACGGCAAGCTTCTGATGCCATTTTATAGCTAACATCGACTAGTCTATCATTATGCCACTATACAGTTCCATCTTTATAAATTCCTGGATCATATAATTTTTGACGTGGGCATGCCATGAACTGGAAACGTAATGTATAGGGCCGGCCTTTTAGCTCAAAATTATATGGCTCATCTTAATACTCATTAAGTTTTATCACATCTAAATCTTTCCAGGATAACCACCCCCTCCTATCTATTAATAGAAATTCATTCAGGCTGACTTTTCCATAAAAATGAGCATGCAATGATGGCCATCTATGAGGATCCATATGATACTCTTCTTTTCCTCCTAGAACCTATACTTCCTTTTTACCTAGATAATTATCACTAGATTCATCCCATTCCATTCGCTCCTCCATTTTACCCATTTCCCAATCATTAGCCACTCCAATAACATATTCTTCAGCATCATCTATTAGATCCCGAATTTTCTTAGTATAACTATTTGTTATATGTGGTTTATATGCCTCTCTAGTAAGATGTCAGTATCCAAATCCATATTCGTTAATTACCTTTTGGGATGCTAACTTTAGAATTCATCTTAAAAATCATCAAATCAATCTATTCTCATGCCATTCTGGATTTTCTTTTCCTAGCCACTCTTGCTTGT